CCTTCCTTCCTTCCTTCCTTCCTTCCTTCCTTCCTTCCTTCCTTCCTTCCTTCCTTTCCCATGGCACATAGACAGGCACACAATTCCATAATCTGCAACATACTAATTAGCTATTACTGGGTTTGCTCCTGTGAGACAGGCAGGCTGATAAATGTCATTAAAACTTCCCTAACATGGGAACTTTCCACATTAAATGAAGATTTATAATGATGTTTTAATTAATAAAAAACTCCCTTGATATTTTTATTACGGATTCTTAAGTGGAAATCTTGTGGCTCTTAAGATGAAAAACAGGCGGTTGGTGCTTGGTTTGAGTTCCATTGTCCTCTAAGATTGGAAGACTTAAGACATTTTATGCTTTGTTCCATTGAAAAACAGGCACTTTAGAACATCTAACCATACATACATACATATATACATATATATCTCCAACTGTATGTATATAGTTCTGAAGATACATATTTTACCATTTGCTTTCTAGAAAAAAACCAAAAATCTATTAAAACATTTTCTTGTAAATACTTATACTGAATTTAAAGATAAATAAATACAAGTTGTAGGATTAGAAAATCGGTATCTAAAATCAGTAGGATTAAGAACATAGAAACAAAGAATACCATGCATTTCTACCCAGAAATTAATTATTATTTAGTCATGTAAATATGATTTTTTTATAACATTACTATTGACAACAATATAGAAAATGCTGTTTTTTGGCTTTACAAATATCCAAGCTTGCCTGCAGCAAGAATTTCCCTGAAGAACAGCTGACAAGAGAACCTTGTCTCTTCAGTCAGTGTCAATTTCCCTGACATTTCAAGGGACTGTCACTGATCCTTCTGCCATGAACCCATAGTTCCTAATATCAGATTTAGCATAAATCATGTTACAGACTTAATATAAGTCATGTTACAGATTACTAATGTCAGACAATGTGAATATACCTCTTATTTTATTTTTTTTTAAGTGGAACCATAGTTTAATTTTACTGGCATGATATCTTCCATTTAAATGTCTAAGCCATTTAAAAAAATGATGAAATTTAAAATTTACATGATGTTGATCCATTTTAACTTACCCATAATAAATTATTTAGACCGTTATGAGGATGCTTATTTCTTATATAAAGCATAAAATCCAATTATTCTTCACCAAGAAAAATGATATGTATTTTTCATTGTCAAGCAATGGATTTTGACAAAAACTTTCTCAAGGAATGATACAGACAGACCTTATCATACTATCTACCCACTGAGATATTATCTAGATATTTCCATTGTTTAGCTATAATGAATTTAGATGCTAAACACAGAAATCTAATAGGGATTTTTTTTTTTTTTAGTTTACAATTTTTTTGTTTGAACCATCAAATATATGTGGTAAACTTTGGAGAAAAGTAACTTTTCTCACTAAAGTCAATCTTTTGTTTTATACAACATGATTCTAAAAACATGAAACTTTATCACATTTCCATCGAGATGAAAGAATGTTCCCTTCAATTTACATCGCTGCCAACAATTCACTGACCATTTACTATAGATATATATGAGATTCTTGACTCATAAGAATCCAGTAAGAGTCAGTATTCTAGGTCCTCAAAAAGTTGTCCCCCAGCCATGACTATGCAGCAATCAATGAACTCCAACTTAAACATTCTGAAAGATCAGTTGTATAACATGATGAAATAGGATTCTGGCTAAATGCATAATATATAATGACAGATAAAGTATGCCACATAAAATTACTATTCTGTAAGCAGGAAGATTTTCCCCCCAGTTAATTAGATCACTTCCTAAACAGAAGTCACTTTTTCTCCTGAGATATCCTGACATATGGTACATGTCCATGGCACGCAACCAAATCTCAGATAAGTTATTCATCACATTTTTCTGGGTTGACAGAAAAAGCAGAACAGTAGTAGCAGCTGAACTAGGCAATCCTCACACTGATTAGTACTCTTTTAAGCAGACTTTTCCTAATTTGATATGTTCCTTCAATTTTTCAAAAAATGATATTTAAAAAGATTGTTTTTTTAAAAAAAGTACATGCATATGCATACACATTATAATAATTTTCAATACTTTAAAAAATGACAATTTATTGAGTTTTTTTCTGAACAAATTATGCCACTAAAATAAATTATTAATCAGAAGTCCTGATGTGCTTGGGTTTTGTTTTTGTTTTTAAAAGTATGTGGATATGTATATGCATTATACTAATTTTTAGTACTTATAAAATTATGAGATACTAGTTTTTTCTGAACAAATTACGCTGCTAAAAGAATAACAGCAACAACAACTACCCCTATGTGATAGAAGTCTGACGGAAGTCAGTAGGTCGTCTTACTATGCTATTTCCTTAATCAAAATCCCTTCTGAAACGGCTATTTGTTCTCAATCATACATAGCCAGTACAGATGCAAGACAAATGCTGCTGGAGCAATTAATTAAAGTCTGCTTCCCCAATCTAGCCAGTATTTACTGTTGCTGGAATATGCAACAGTTATGGTAAAACACTGAAAGGGGTTGTATCTGGGACTGTTATATCAGAAAGGCATGTAAAGAGACATGGAGAGAACAGAATACTTTGCTCTTTATAGGCATTTTTTCCCCTAAGCCTCACCTTTTCAACAAACTTGTTAAGTCTGCCTAAATTATGTTTCTCAAGTAAAATGCAATTTGAAGGCTACTGACTTGATCCTTTATTAACTGCTGAGCAACAAAACCCATGCTTCAAAAGCTCAGACTTGTAATGCTTCGACTGCCTCTATTGTCCTTTACTTTCTAAAGATGAAACTCTACACGTTCTTATGGAAGTCTTGCATTCATCCTTACAGAAATAATGTTGGAGAGGATTTAGGTAATAATAGGCCTTTTTGAGCATTATTTCCTGCATCTAGGGAAAGACAACAAACCCTCCCTCACTCACTGGCTAATTCTGTAATGACCTCTATTCCTCTAACTTTAGCAATATTGCCCAAGAAATGGGGGCTTGTTTGTAAAGAAGATTTCTCAATACCAGTAACTGTAAGCAAGTGTGCTGAGAGGAGGGGGGAAAAAAAGCTAAAACCTACTGTAAGCATATATTCCCAATTGCACATATAAACTACAACATCATTACTAATATGTCTAACCTTGATCCAGCGATGGTTAGCCTCTTTGAGTCTACTGTCAAGCTTATGTTTTACTTCAGGACTCAGTGATGCACTACTGAGTATCTTTCCTCCAGCTTCATTTAATTGGTTTAGTATTCCTTTGTGTGGAGGTAGTTCTTCCACTCTTAACTGGAAAAGACAAATGCAACATTTAAAATGAAGTGTAGCAGAATTTTCAAGTCCCTTATCTTCATTTCTATTGATTAGTTTATCAGCTGAAGTAAATAGACTCAGGAGCTCAATCTAGCACAAAATATCTACAGCTATTATTCAAGGCTTTTATGCCTAAGGTAAAAGAACAATCCTATTTCTCCATTAAGAAGCCCTTTTCTTTTTTCTTCAAAATAAATATTCTCAAGGACTGTGAGAGCAACTGTGAAATGAAATAATCTGATGGAGTAATTAAAAGCCAAGGCAAAAAGAAAAAAAAATGCCAATAATGATTTTATACATTATAAGAATATAGATACTTGCTAAACAGTAGAAATGTGCATGCTTGAAAATTATTCAAAATAAATACTTTGGAATATATAGGATTTTTTTTTTCTTTTTCAGCTGACAAATGGTACTATTGCTGTAGTTCTAACCAAGCTATGCCAGCAAATCTGGAGAATGACACAATGCCCAACCTATTAGAAGAGATCAATCTATATTCCAATACCAAAAAAAAGAGAGACTTAAGAGTGTGCAAACTACCACACATATCCTTAATTCCATGTCCTAGCAAAATAATGCTTAGAATTATCCAATACAGATCCGAGCCCTACATGGAAGAAGAAATACCAGATGTTCAAGCTGGCTTTAGGAAAGGCTAAGGAATATGAGTTATTATTGCTGATGTACACTGGATAATTGAGAAGGCCAAAGAATACCAAAAAGAAGTCCGTATGTGCTTCATCGATTATAGAAAAGCCTTTGATTGTGTCAATCACATCAAGCTGTGCTCACATGTGCTCAGAAAAATGGGAATCCCAGGAAATCTCATTGTTTTCATGAGAAACTTATATACAGGTCAGGAAGCCACAGTACAGACAAAGGATAGTGAAATGGACCAGGTCCAGGTTGGCAAAGGAGTGGGGCCAGGTCCAGTTGGCAAAGGAGCAAGGCTTCACACTCTCCTCTTATCTATTTAAACTATATGCTGAATATATATTAAGGGACACTGGATTGGAAGAAGATGAATGTGGTTTTAAAGCTGGAGGAAGAAACCTCAATAACCTGTGCTATGCTGATGACACTACCCTGACAGCCAAAAATGAAAAGGATCTGCAAGCCCTAGTATTAAAAGTCAAAGAGCACAGTGAAAAAATGGGACTAAAATATAAAGACCAAATAAATGACAACAGGTAGAACAACCAGCCTTAGAATTGACAATAAAGATATTGCAGCGGTGGATAGTTTTTGCCACTATATTGATTACTATATTTTTATTATTCTCTTTAGGCAAACATACCAGAAAAAGGAAGACACTTCCATATGGTTATCATGGAAACTACATACATGCATACATGAAATCACCAGGAGCTGAGTTCAACTCAAGCGAGTTTTTACCTTATTTTTTTTTCTAGTTTGAACCAAAAACAGTAATTTTAAAACATGACCTAATAATTTTCTTCAAAACTGTTTAGTGGACATGAATTCTTTCAGAACTTTTGCTAACATGAAACTGTCTGGAGTTTCAAGACTCTTTCTCAAAAGCTAAATACGAAAAATACTGTGGTTGCTAAGAGTCAACAACAACTTAATGGCACATAATCAGTCAATTTCTATGTTATGACAATCCGTTCCCGTTATAAGTAAGACTTCAGTGTCTACATATATTCCACATGAATATATGTTCCAAAAAAATCACTATCCAATCTGAAAACTCCAGAAATTTTGCAGCAAAATTGTTGCAAATTTCAACATTTTGAAATGTTGGTAGACAGCTTCTCAAGAGGTTTATAGTTTTTCAACTTCACAAGGGAAAGGGGAAAGGGAAAGAAAAAGAAATAATTGGAAACAACTGTTTCCGAATCATATTACCTTTACTTTTTGAAGGGTGTCTTTTAATTGATCTTCATTTCCTGGCTCTAGCGGAATGTTGGCAACACTACTGGCTTCGTTTAACCATAAAATAAACTTATTGAAATTATACTGTAATTCTGTCAGAAGATGCTGTTCCTCGTCAAACCTGTAGTGAGAAAATAAAAACATAATTAGGTGAGTCTGAGTAGATTTATATTTGTATTAAAATACTTATTAATTTTACTGTAATAGCTAACATAAATATAGCTGCAAAATACTTTACATTACATGCCCAGCAACATATGTTACTTTATTCAAGCAAGGTGTCCATAATCCATCAATTAATCTAGTATTTATTGGTTAACTGACTATACAAAATAAAAACAATTGAACATAGATTGTAGGTTTCCATGGCTGTTATTTATTGGTGAAATCACTTCAGGGTAATAATGTGTGAGACAATGCCAACCATGCTACTAATTTCTTCCAAGAAGATCCAAAACTGAATTGCTTTATACATGGTATTTAGTGAATGGCTGTGGGCAATTCACTTTATGAAACACAAGCAGGACATAAGGAGTTCAATTTCAGATTTTTATTGTGGGAGATTTTTAAAGTATATAGTGATTTTAATGTATCTCATGACACCCTGCTAACACTTCTTTGAATGTACACAACATTTTAAATAAGCAGACAGACAAATAAGGAAGAAGGGTTACAGACCCCCTCACTAAGTCCAAGCCATTTGCCTTTTTTTAATTTCACTCGTGTTCAGAACAAATGCATATAGGGGGTAGAAATGAAAACCTGGATGTAAGAAACTCAGATTGCTGCACTGTAGAAGATGCAATTGCTGAAATAGTATACTGGTTTATTACTGTAAGAAAGATTGATTAGATTTGCTGTTAAACCATGCAAAGAAATATTGGAAAGTTCATAAAAGTTCAAGGCTTTTATTTCTATACATTAATGCTCAGAGTATGGAAAATAAACAAGATGAGCCCAACTTAAAGTACAGAAGGGCAAGTATAATTTAATAATAGGGATGTGCAGCACTTTGGATCTGAAGCCAAATGGTGATTCAGAATTGTCATGGACAAGCACACTGCACTTCAGTACCTCCCTAAAAAAGCTGAGTCATTTTGGGGGGGACAGTTGCACAGTAGCTGCTCATCCCTGCCTCCCTCCCCCCGCCCTCCGGCAACAAATATTTGAATTAAGAAAGCACTGTGTTATATCTGTGCTAATCTGAAACATCTTATTTGGCCCTGCTGATTTCAAATACACAGTTTTCTGGGATTACATGGCTAGTGTGAGAAACCAGGTAAAGACCCAACCTCTTTAAGGAGATGTAACTGGTGCACCCATGCCTTCTCTAAAGCAGTCTTAGGGCTTTAAATCTGAAGCTCTGCATATTCTTATTTAATAGGATAATTGCAATCTGGTAAACTGACTCCCATGACTAGAACATACTTTCCCCCACCCCCAAAGGAACAAAAGTAAAAGAAGTTCTACTTATATGCTTAAAATATCAGTTCCTGCTTAGAGATCCAAATGAATCAAGTTAGTAATGCTGTGGAGAATATCTGGGTTAAGATATGTGGAGAAGAAATAGAAGCAGTACATTTTGTGGTGTCTATTACAACTAAGGAGATAATGTTGATGCTTCCAAAACCAAGTGCAGATTTTTCAAAGATGCATAATAGTGACTTTAATCACTGCAAAACCTGTTGAGTTATAAACTTTGTTAAGTATGGTGCTTCCATGAAATTCCTGATTTGTCTTACTGAAAAGTTAATGATTCCTGATTAGATTGGAGACATGTATTGAATGGGGTACCCTAAGGATAAATAGGGATCTTCTGCTCTTCAATATTTTCATTAATGATGTAGATAAAAAGTTAAGGGAATCTTTACCAGGGCTGCAGATGCTAAAAATTTGAGTGGAATAGAAAATAAAAATAAGATTGAAAAAAAGTTTGATACATTGTAGAAATGAGCTGAAAGTAATAGAGTGAAATTTAACAGAGACAAGTGCAAAGTTCTACAGTTACTGTATAAAAACAAATGTCACATGTATATTTAGAATAAGAATTCCTGGCTTGCTAATTTCATTTGCAAAAAGATGTTGGAAGAGTAACTGAATGCAAACTGAATATGAGCTGATAGTGTGATGTGGCTGCAAAAAAAAAAAAAAAAGCAAAGTAATTTTAGGCTGCATCAACAGAAATATAATGGTTCACTCTGTTCTGCTTTGGTGAGACACTACATTGAGTACTTTGTCCAATTCGGGGTACAGGTAGAAGAGAAGCATTCAGAAAATTTGGAATAAATTCGGAGAAGAATAACAATGATCAGGAGACTAGAAATTAAGCCGTATGAAGAGAGTTTAGCCTCGAGAAAAGACAGCTGAAAGAAAATGATGATGATGATGATGATGATGATGATGATGATGATGATGATGATGTTTTTATGAGAACACTCTTCAAATTCCTGAAGGAATGTCACTTGGAAGAAAGTTGGTACCTCTTGTCTTATTCAGAATGCATGATACAGAATAATGTAGTCACAGAAAGGCAGATTCCATTTTGTTGTTAGAAAAACTTCCTAGTAGTAAGAGTGGTAGTGAAGTCCTTTTTATTGGATGTGTTCAAACAGAGTCAAGGCAGCCACCTGTTTGGGATCTTTAATTCAGAATGCTTCACTAAGCAGGGGTTGGACTTGATGGCCTAAATGTCCCTTTCCAAAATTTTATGATTCTGTGTAGATGAACACCAGATTGGAGAAGGATCTTTTACAGTCTTGAAAGACTGAACAGTCTAGAAAAGCATGACAACGAGCATGAAATCATGCATGCAGGACTCTTTATGTCCCCTTCAAGAGACATCACCTTTGAAATCAAGAGTACTTCCACTAGAAAAATAGCCTATGACATATGAGGACTTCTATCTAAATGGGTGAAATGTAAGCTCCATGCTCATACACCTCTCTCAGTATGACTTAATCTCTGAATAGTATTTATTTGAATAGTATAATATTTGACAGCATAAAATATTCAATCAGAAATATTTTTATGCCTTCTAATGTTCCTGAGTGCAAGTGAAATGTATTATCAGACTTACAATAAGTTTCAATACTTTCCCACATTATAAATAAATAAATAACTGGTTGAGGCAAATAATAAATAACCTGTTGATTTTATGAAGATCTTTTCTTAGTTGTTCACAAGAGATTGTGCATATTTTTACATGCAATAAAGCAATAAGTGGAAATGCATAATTTATAGCCATGACTTCAACTTTCCCTAGATGTCTTTAGAGATAAAGAGACTGGGTGAGATGCCTGTATAAAATATAGGTACCCTGTCCAGCAACATCCTGATAAGGTCATTCCAATTCTAATAATTTCTAAGCATGTACCTTCAGAGGTCTAAAATAAAAATATTATGAAAGATTATTCCTTGCCTGCAGGGATCCATTTTTAAAGCATTAAATTCCTAAATGGATTTCCTTTGAAACTTATAGGAAATATACTATACAAAGTCATTAGACTTTAATACTTTCCACCTATATTTTAATCTCTAACTAAATGATGGAATTATTTTACAGAGCATTAAGACAAGAAATCTGCTTGTCTGTTCTTTTTCTGAGTATTGTATAATTTGATATACTTCCTGCCTGTTGAGCAAAATAAAAATAAACTATGTTAATTAGTCCATTTAAGATAAATCATTTATAATAATTTTGATACAATCTAGCCAAGCTATTTATTTTCAAGTTCTGGTGATTTGCTATATGTTAATGAATACAAGCCATTATTTTCAAAATTAATACCTATGTATTTATTTACTTATATAAAAATTTGTTAAAATATGGCAAGTTTACTGAACTGTTTCTTCACTGTTACTTTAAAAATGAATTAGAATAAAAAATGCTTAATTAAAATTTAGACCAAGATGATGGATACATATACAGGAACATAAATATTAATATTAATATAAAAGCATCTTTTTCAATTATTCTGGTATGAAATTAAGACTATATTTGAAACCTTCTAAATAATAATGGTATAATGCCTCTTCATACATTGAATATAATTGCATATCTGAGCAAATACAAATTCAAATTAATAAATGTTTTATGCTCCTGACTAAGTACAATTAAACAAGTGTTTGTATATATCTCCAGAATTACAAGAGAATGTTAAAGCAGTGGAAAATAAAATAATACCTTGTGATATACAAATAGTGGGCAATTTGCAACAAATTTGTAAATGTCAACTAATGAACTAAAGTGGTGGACAAGTATAACCATATTGTACTAGTTGGCTTTGTCTAACAAAATCTTGAATCAATCTGATTAGCACAGAGACAGGTGAAAAATCCATAAGTGTAGTAACAAGATATATTTCTTTCAATTGAATTAGAAATGGGTCTGGTAGCCAAATGCAGCCACCAAATCAAAATCACTGATATAATTTAAGTTCCCCTGACCCCAATTATAGAATTAGAATCTCATCCCTGGTCAGGCAGAGAGGGCATGTTGTGGATCCTGTCAGCAAGGGAATGTTGGCTGGCGGGGCCCAGGAAGACAGCCTGTTCTGCTGTTGCCCCTGCCCTTTGGAATATTCTCCCCCCAGAGGTGCAGCGGGCCCCTACCCTCCCGGCTTTCCAAAAAGATTTAAAGACCTACCTCTGTCAGTGTGCATGGGGTGATATGGGCTATACCCACCCCTGGGGGTGATTAGCCCCCTGATGATGCTCCCTGGAATTACTTGCTAATTTTCTATCTTCTTGGAATTTATTTATTTTTAGGATTGTTTTTATGTTGTATTTTAATGAATTTTTATCTTGTAAACTGCCCAGAGTCGTTTCACAAGATGGGCGGTGACAAATTTGATGAATGAATGAATGAATGAATGAATGAATGCATGCATGCATGCATGCATTCATTCATTCATTCATTCATATGAATGAATGAATGAATGCATGCATGCATGCATGCATTCATTCATTCATTCATTTGAATGAATGAATGAATGAATGAATGAATGAATGAATGAATGCATGCATGCATGCATGCATAAATAAATAAATAAATAAATTTATTTCTAAGAAAAAAAGGCCACACTTGAATAAACTCATAAAGAGAAATACAACTAGAACTAG